GCCCCGACCGCCTCTGCATCACAATGCCGGAATCACGCTAATCAACCGCCCGCACCGCGCCCGCACCGCCCGGGCAGGGACAGGGGCAGGGACAGGGGCAGGGGCAGGGGCCGGGGCCGGGGCCGGTCGGGACGAGGAGCCGCTCGTGGTGAGGGTCCACCCACCGGGCACACATCCCACCACCGCTCGCCAGGGAGGAGGGCCGGTGGCACAGGCCCTGTCTGCTCCCGGTGGAGCATCCCCGGGATGCTGGAACAGAAGGGTGGTGACCCCTCAGCCGTGGCCGCTGTCCCTGGAGGTTAAGGGTCGGGCTCTGGTGACACCACAGTGCCCTGGAAAACGCCAAGGCCAGCACGTGCCACCAGCTGTCCCCATTACCCTGACAACACAGTGGCACTGCAGCCAGTGGCCACAGCACTGGGGAGCCAACCCAGTGCCACGGCACGACCAGCCTGGGACCACCAGGATCTTTCTACTCCCCCCCCCCACCCCACATGTGGTCAGTGCCTTCGAGGGGCTGGGGCCTGGCCACTGCCACATTCCCGCTGGGAGCGGGTGCCCAGGGCTGTGCCCCCCACACAATGTGTGCCCCTGGTTTCTCCAGGCAGGCAGGAGGTGCAGGGGGTCACGGGGGTGTGGTGGCCCAGGGGGTGTGGTGGCAGCGGTGGCCCAGGGGGTGGTGGTGGCCCAGGGGGTGTGGTGGCCCAGGGGGTGGTGGTGGCCCAGGGGGTGTGGTGGCCCAGGGGGTGTGGTGGCAGCGGTGGCCGCCGTCCCCGCCGGCTGCCACCCGCATTCCAGCGCAGGAGGCAGTGGGGCCCCTGCCACCCCCCCCCCCCCTCCCAGCACGGCCCCCCCAGCACCACTAAATATTAATGCTGCCCTACATTGCGCCGCGGCACCTGCCACGGGCGAGCCCCCCCGGCCCTCGCAGGGGTGGGCAGCTGCCCCGGCACCACCGCCCGGCCCAGCTTCCCCCCAGGGCTGTGCCAGAAGGTGTGAGGGGGGACACGCCAGCACCAGCTGTGCCCCCCCCTCCCCAGAGCCAGCCGGGGGAACAAAGCGAGGGTGGGGGCACAGGGAGCAACTCAGAGGGTTGGGAGCCCCTCAGGTGCCCCCCACCCTGACCCGGGGGTCCCCCCCCAGGAGCAGGTTTGGGGCGGGATTTGCTGGTGAACGTGGCACCGAGTGGTTTTTTCCCCCCACTACCACCAGTGCCAGTCGCGGCTGAGGACGTGCCGCTCATCACACGAGTGCCAGGCGGCAGCGGGGGCGGCCCCGGCGCCCGCCTTGAGCCCCAGCCAAGAGTCCAGAGCCGAAAAGTAGGGGGTGATTGATGGCAGCGTTTGGCGCGTAAGGGCACCCGGCGGCCCAATCCTCCCGCGGCCCCAATGCCTCCCCTGCCCCTATTCAGAGATCATGTTGTCTCATGTTGGTCCCAGAGGCGCCATTAATTAAAAATACATCCAATTAAATGGCAGGTGAAAGCGTGTGCAGGCACAGCCCCCCCCGCGCCCCCTCCCCGTGCCTTGGCTCAGCTGTGCCGGTGGCAGCGGGGAGGGCCGTGTGCCCGCTCGGGGTGCGGTGCCAGCTCCTGTCCCCGCTGCCACCGCGGGCACGGCAGTGCCTTGTCCCTGTGTGCTGCCATCCCTGGGGCGCTGGGGTGGGGGTCACCCCCCTGTGCCCCCTCCCACGGGCTGGGCAGCACGTGGGGCACAGACAGAGGGACGTGGTGGCCGCTGGCACGACGGCCAGGAGGGGAATGGCCCCAAAATCGAGGCTCCCCGGTTCGGTGGAGTGTCACGGGAGTGCTGGCACGGCCACCCTCAGCGTGGTGACATGGGGTGGGCAATGCCAGCCCGGCTGCAGCGTGGCTGGGAGGTGGCACTGGGGGGCACTGGGGGGCACTGGGGGGCCAGGGAACCCCCCGGGCCGCGGTGGCTCCACATTCCCGTTAATTGGAGCCGTTAATGGCGGGCGCCTTCCTGCTCCCGGGGCTGGCAGGAGGCACCAGCTGTGCCCACCCCAGACGCCGTTTTAATCAAGCTGCCGGTGCGGTGGGGACAGGCCCAGGTGGTCCCGTGGCACAAGGGGTCGTGTCACCCCCTGCCACCCGCTCTGGGCACCGTCAGGCCCTGCCCAGGGAACCCCCACCCCGTCCATGCCCACAAAACCCCTGTGCCACCATCCAAAAACCCACCAAAACACAGCATCCCAATCCCACAGGGCACAAAACACTGGATCCCATGGGATGGGTGACACACGGGGGGCTCACACCTCCCTCCTTCCCCCCCAAACCCAGCCCCAACACCCTCCTCCATCCTCCCTCTGCGGCCTCCAACACCTCCCTGGGTTCGCTGTTTTTTTTTTTTCCTTTTTTTTTTTGGGCGGCTTTATCCTTTCCAATCCTTTTATTCTTTTCCTCCCCTTCCAAATGCCAAGGAAAGGTGTGAACGGATTTTTGGAAGGAAACGTCTAAATTGGATGAAAAACCTTTAATGCCGACAGCCGGAGCAGCTGGAAGGACAAATATAGCCGGGGAGGAGGAGGAGGAGGAGGAGGAGGAGGAGGGGACGGGGACACGGGGGGAGGTGGTGGCCGTGCCGAGAGCGACACCTGGTGACTGTCACACCCGGCCACGCGTGAACACGCGTGTGCGCGTGCCCCAGGTGTGTGTGTGTGTGCACCCCGTGAACATGCGTGTGCATGTGCCCCAGGTGTGTGTGCATGCCATAAACACGCATGTGTGTGTGCTCCAGGAGTGTGTGTACCCCCTGTACATGTGTGTGGACATGCCCCAGGTGTGTGTGTGTGCACCCCGTGAACACACGTGTGCACGTGCCCCAAGTGTGTGCATGCCATGAACACGTGTGCGTGTGCTCCAGGAGTGTGTTACCCCCTGTACATGTGTGTGGATGTGTCCCAGGCGTGTGTGTGTGTGTGCATGCTATGAACACACATGTGCATGTGCCCTGTGTGTGTGCACGCCATGAACACGCATGTTCATGTGCCCCAGGTGCGTGTGTGTGTGCACCCTGTGAACATGCATGTGAACGTGCCCCAAGTGTGTGCATGCCATGAACACACGTGTGCATGTGCCCCGGGTGTGTGTGTGTGTGTGTGTATGCCATGAACACGTGTGTGCACATGCTCCGTGTGTGTGCACCCCATGAACACGTGTGTGCA